CACTGTACTCCAGTCTGAGCGACAGAGTGAGATTCCATCTCAAAAAAAAGACATGAGAACAATTGTCTCATTGCTATCCACCTGACTCTGCCTGCTGGGCTCAGAAGCAGGACATACTGGAGTCTTGAACACAGGCCATGATAATGCTACCCTCTTAATCTTATTAGGGAATAATTTGCCTTGTGACGTTCCATGTAAATCTTTTCTTTCTTTTTTTTGGAGTCTTGCTCTGTCACCCAGGTTTAAGTGCAGTGGTGTGATCTCAGCTCACTGTAATCTCCACCTCCCAGGTTCGAGCTATTCTCGTGGCTCAGCCTCCTGAGTAGCTGGGACTACAGGTGCGCACCACCATGCCTGGCTAATTTTTTGTATTTTTATTAGAGACGGGGTTTCAACATGCTGGCCAGGCTAGTCTCAAACTCCTGACCTCAAGTGATCCCGCCGCCTTGGCCTCCAAAAGTGCTGGAATTACAGGCATGAGCCACTGTGACCAGCCTCTATGTAAATCTATACAATCTATTCCTCGGCTCCTTTCCAGAATTTCCTGGAAGACATGTAAAACACGTATGTGAGTGTGCACATATGGATTAAATCATAAATCACTTCCAGGAAGGAAAGCAAGTTTGGTTATCTTTAAACAATTTCTGTGGGTTTTTTTGGTTCTTTGGTTATGCTTTCAAAAACGATATTCCAGATTCCTTCCCTCTTTTCCATCCTCAGATTCCTTTGCCTAACATCTGCCCTAAGGACTAACCTCTACCCATTCAAATGAGATTACAATCCTCTCCTCTCCTACTTTAACTTTCTTTTTCTTTCTTGAGACAGAACCTCACTCCGTTGTCCAGGCTGTAGTGCAGTGGCGCAGTCGCAGCTCACTGGCACCTCTGCCTCTCGGGTTCAAGCTATTCTTGCCGCTCAGCCTCCCGGGTAGTTGGGATTACAGGCGCGCGCCACCACACCTGACTAATTTTTGCATTTTTAGTAGAAATGGGGTTTCGCCATGTTGGCCAGGCTGGTCTCAAACTCCTGGCCTCCCCAAGTGCTGGGATTACAGGGGTGAGGCACCGCGCCCAGCCTACTTTAACTTTCATTCACTCTAATATACAACCCTTCTCTCCAATCTGAGGAAAACGCACCACTGCGGTTCATTTTTCAGAAAATAAACAGAGGAAGTATGACATAAAAGGAACTTGGGGCGGGGGTGTCGTTTTCCTTCAACCCCATCGCTCTAATTGCTTTTAAACTCCCGGACTCTTTCAAAATGCCTTCCTAACATTTCTCTCCAGGCTCCTTTTGCTTCTCTCCGATTCTCTTGTCATTACAGATGAAGGCTTCATTAGCGATACACTGTATTCCATGTTTATTATACTAGCCTGTCCAAAGAGCTCCTACTTTTTAATGTAATCTTCATCCCTTAGGCAACAGCTGTAGCCCATTTCCTCTCATTCAAGTAAGAACAATACCCGTCCCTATCTCCCTGCGCCCCATCCTGTGCTCTCTTTGTATTTGTCTCTTAGATTCAAACAGGATCTACCCCCCCTGCAGCCCTTCAAGAAGAGGTATGATTGCTACCACTTTTCCCCACAAAGTGACGAAAGGAAACAGCGACGGAGGCGCAACCGAACCCAGGAATCTGTGTCTTCACTGGTCCATTCCCGGCCCACCCCCATTAACCGGCTCGAGCCACTCCCAGGACGTAGTCAAGGCCTCGGAAGGCGACTACAACTCCCAGCAGGTCGAGCTGCTCCGCCCGCGCTGATTCTCCATTGGCCTTCCGGGGGTGGGGATTAGATGGGAGGTGGCCGTGGGGCTGCGACCGGGATTTGTCCCCTCTTCGGCTTCCGTAGAGGAAGTCCCGCGGACCTTCATTTGGGGTTTTGGTTCCCCCCCCCTTCCCCTTCCCCGGGGTTCGGGGGTGACATTGCACCGCGCCCCTCGTGGGGTCGCGTTGCCACCCCACGCGGACTCCCCAGCTGGCGCGCCTCTCCCATTTGCCTGTCCTAGTCAGGCCCCCACCCCCCTCCCACCTGCCCAGCCATGGGGGCTGCGGTGTTTTTCGGCTGCACTTTCGTCGCGTTCGGCCCGGCCTTCGCGCTTTTCTTGATCACTGTGGCTGGGGATCCACTTCGCGTTATCATCCTGGTCGCAGGGTGAGTAGGGGGTCCGGGAGACGCGGAAGAGCGTCGAAGAGAGAGGTGCGGAAGGGGCTGGAGGAACTGGGGCGAGCCTGGGAGCCTGAATTGGGGACGATAAATCGGAGGTGAAGTTTGGGCGGAGGTGAGGGGTTGGGTCTGGGAGATTTGCCTTTTCCCGCAGTTGGTTTCCACCTTCCAAGGATCTCACAGATTCCTCCTATATTCCTCCCAGCGACGTCAGAGAAGGCCCAAGGCCGAGACTCGTGAGGGGGCTGTGCTGACCTAGGCTGGCCGAGTCAGGTGCCTTAGGGGAGGATCCAGGAACGGATACCTCGCCCTTCGGTGCTTGCACACTCTGGCTCTCATCGCTCTGAAGACTCTTTAATTAGATTTCTCCCCTTTCCTCTGCGTTCACGTTTCCACAGATGAGTCTTTTGGTGGAAACAGTTACCCTACCTGGTCCATGTCTCCCTAACCATCCGGAAGGCTAACTTCCACCCGTCAAGCACCTTGGCTGGTTTCCCTCCTTGATTTCTCTGGCAGCCCTTACCATTGCTTGTCTCACTGTCCCTGTCTTTTCTCAGGGCATTTTTCTGGCTGGTCTCCCTGCTCCTGGCCTCTGTGGTCTGGTTCATCTTGGTCCATGTGACCGACCGGTCAGATGCCCGGCTCCAGTACGGCCTCCTGATTTTTGGTGCTGCTGTCTCTGTCCTTCTACAGGAGGTGTTCCGCTTTGCCTACTACAAGCTGCTTAAGTAAGATGATGGAGTGGTCTGGAGGGGAGAGGGGCAGAGGACTGCACTGTGGGAAGTAGGGCAGTCCCTGGGTGCTGGTTTGGAAGAGGAGGCACTAAGGGAGGACATTAGAGGGAAAGGAGCATTTCTGCCCTCCCTCATGTTTCCCCTACCCCACCCCACCCCAGGAAGGCAGATGAGGGGTTAGCATCGCTGAGTGAGGACGGAAGATCACCCATCTCCATCCGCCAGATGGCCTATGGTGAGCCAAGGGAGAGGGACTGGAGGAGGGAGTTGGACAGCCCCCTCCTCTAGGGAAGTCTCTAAATACCCACATGTTCTAAGTGGCTTCTTATTTTCCTTCATCCGTCACTTCCAAAGAAAGTTGGTCTGGAGGGAGAGTAGGCGTGAAAGAATTGTAACGGGGAATGGGGAGGCGTCAGTGGTGAACAGGCAATAGTGTGATCTCTGACATTGATGAGATCCTCCCTTCCCCCAGTTTCTGGTCTCTCCTTCGGTATCATCAGTGGTGTCTTCTCTGTTATCAATATTTTGGCTGATGCACTTGGTCCAGGTGTGGTTGGGATCCATGGAGACTCACCCTATTACTTCCTGACTTCAGGTAAGATCCAACTTCTATCTAGCCTTCACCCCCCATCCATCCTTGTCCCAGATCTGATTTATTGGCCTTCCCTGGGAGACTTCTTTGGCTCAACATCTCAGGAGGCTGGGAGAAGATCAGGGATGTATCTCCTCCCCATCTCCCTCCCTGCAGCCTTTCTGACAGCAGCCATTATCCTGCTCCATACCTTTTGGGGAGTTGTGTTCTTTGATGCCTGTGAGAGGAGACGGTACTGGGCTTTGGGCCTGGTGGTTGGGAGTCACCTACTGACATCGGGACTGGTGAGTTGGAGACAGGGGCTTAAGTTAGGGAGAAAAGCATTTAATGGTGAGTGGGATGTCGGGGAAAGGGTATCCTCACTTCTTAACATTTTTAACTTACCTGGGAGGAGGCGGAAAGGTGAGTCTTTTGAGGTCTCTCACCTCAGCATCAGTTCTAGCACGTGCTCTGGGGAGGAGGTTGAACGCATTAGTCAAACTGTAATGCAGAGGGCCTGAGGTGGTCAGGAGTGGCAGAAACCTTTGAGGTTCTGAGGAGCTGAAAATCAAAAGTCCCCTTAACCACAAGATGTTGGTGCTCTGAAGGGAAAGACTGGGGAATTTGAGAGAGATGTCTGGGAGTCAAAGGTACAGAGAGAATATGGGGATTAGGTCGGGGGAGAATCTAATCTCTTTCCTACTCTTACCCTCCTTCCTAGACATTCCTGAACCCCTGGTATGAGGCCAGCCTGCTGCCCATCTATGCAGTCACTGTTTCCATGGGGCTCTGGGCCTTCATCACAGCTGGAGGGTCCCTCCGAAGTATTCAGCGCAGCCTCTTGTGTAAGGACTGACTACCTGGACTGATCGCCTGACAGATCCCACCTGCCTGTCCACTGCCCATGACTGAGCCCAGCCCCCCGGCCCGGGTCCATTGCCCACATTCTCTGTCTCCTTCTCGTCGGTCTACCCCACCACCTCCAGGGTTTTGCTTTGTCCTTTTGTGACCGTTAGTCTCTAAGCTTTACCAGGAGCAGCCTGGGTTCAGCCAGTCAGTGACTGGTGGGTTTGAATCTGCACTTATCCCCACCACCTGGGGACCCCCTTGTTGTCCAGGACTCCCCCTGTGTCAGTGCTCTGCTCTCACCCTGCCCAAGACTCACCTCCCTTCCCCTCTGCAGGCCGACGGCAGGAGGACAGTCGGGTGATGGTGTATTCTGCCCTGCGCATCCCACCCGAGGACTGAGGGAACCTAGGGGGGACCCCTGGGCCTGGGGTGCCCTCCTGATGTCCTCGCCCTGTATTTCTCCATCTCCAGTTCTGGACAGTGCAGGTTGCCAAGAAAAGGGACCTAGTTTAGCCATTGCCCTGGAGATGAAATTAATGGAGGCTCAAGGGTAGATGAGCTCTGAGTTTCTCAGTACTCCCTCCCCAGACTGGACATCTTGGTCTTTTTCTCAGGCCTGAGGGGAACCATTTTTGGTGTGATCAAATACCCTAAACTGCCTTTTTTTCTTTTTTGAGGTGGGGGAAGGGAGGAGGTATGTTGGAACTCTTCTAACCTCCTTGAGCTATATTTTCTCTCCTCGAGTTGCTCCTCATGGCTGGGCTCATTTCTGTACCTTTCTCCTTGGTCCCAGACCTTGAGGGAAAGGAAGGAAGTGCATGTTTGGGAACTGGCATTACTGGAACTAATGGTTTTAACCTCCTTAACCACCAGCATCCCTCCTCTCCCCAAGGTGAAGTGGAGGGTGCTGTGGTGAGCTGACCGCTCCAGAGCTGCAGTGCCGCTGGAGGAGTCAGACTACCATGACATCGTAGGGAAGGAGGGCAGATTTTTTTGTAGTTTTTAATTGGGGTATGGGAGGGGTGGGGAGGTTTTCTATAAACTGTATCATTTTCTGCTGAGGGTGGAGTGTCCCATCCTTTTAATCAAGGTGATTGTGATTTTGACTAATAAAAAAGAATTTGTAATTGTGGGGGAACTTGGCTTTTAAGGGAGGGGATAGCATGTTAATTGAGATTTCTGTCCTCTCAAATCTCTTGTCCAGCCACTTTCCTAACCTGTCAACCACTGATCTCCAAGCATAGCCTTGGTGCAAGGGCAGAAATCTGGGCTAGTGGTTTAACATGTCTGAAACTTTGGGTTAAGTGTTTTCCCAGAAGCTGATCTTTCCATCCAGGGGTGGGATAAAAGGAGTTAATCACCCATGCTTCTTTTCCCCATCCTTTGCACATCTTTACCACCTGAGGGATTCAGGAACTTACCCACCCTCAAGAGCCTCAAAGGATAGGCCGGAATTAAAGTCAGAAACTTTAATTTCCAAATATATTGATCAAAAATATACAACTTCAACAGCAACTCTTTATCCTAAGGAGAGATCCTGCAGTATATCTAGGGAAAGGGCCATAAAAGTGAGGGGGTAGAGGACTTTGGGATATATCCCTGCAACTAAACAGAGTTTGTTCTCTGCATTAACAACACAGGGATTTCCTCATTTCCTACATGTTTGGAGAGGCTGAAGGCTCTGCAGTTCTTCCTCGAATGACAGCCTGGGTCCATTCCTCTCTGTAGGAGATGTCCAGGGGAAGGAGGACGTCTGCCTACTACTTCTACAGTGTTTCTGGCCAGACTGTACACCCCATTTTAGAGGCTTCCCGATAGGCATTAGGGGAAGTCATCCACATCCACGGTATCTGAGAGGGAATTTATGCCTCAGTCGTGGCTCGTGCTGAGGTGAAGACCACAGTCTTTCGGTTTTCCAGCCTCTTCTTCCTGGAAAGGGGAGTGGCTCGTGAGAATGACTGCTATCTAAGTGAAGCAGATTAGAGGTGGAATAGGAGAATGATTTTTAATAGAAAAGAGGGCTGGGCGAGGTGTTTCACACCTGTAATCCCAGCACTTTGGGAGGCTTGAGGCAGGCGAATCACTTGAGGTCAGGAGTTGGAGACCAGCCTGGACAACATAGTGAAAACCTGTCTCTGCTAAAAATATGAAAATTAGCTGGGCATGGTGGCACATGCCAATAGTCCCAGCTACTCAGGAGGCTGAGGTGGGAGGACCACTTGAATCCAGTAGGTGGAGGTTGCAGTGAGCTGTGATAAAGCCATGCACTCCAGCCTGGACAACAGTGAGATCCTGTCTCAAAAAGCGGGTGACTCACGCCTGTGATCCCAGTACTTTGGGAGGCCAAGGCGGGCGGATCACCTGAGGTCAGGAGTTTGAGACCACCCTGGCCAATATGGTGAAACCTTGTCTCTACTAAAAATAAAAAAATTAGCTGGGTGTGATGGTGCGTGCCTATAGTCCCAGCTACTCAGGAGGCTGAGGCAGGAGAATTGCTTGAACCCAGGAGGCAGAGGTTGCAGTGAGCTGAGATTGCGCACCACTGCACTCCAGACTGGGTAACGGAGCAAGACTCCATCTCCCAAAAAAAGAAAGAAAGAAAGGACTGGAGGAATGGAAAGTAGGACCTCACCGAATCTTTCTAGCAATGAAATAAACAGCCAGGAGAAGGCAGAGACAGCCAACCAAGATTCCTACACCTAGACTCAGCATTTCACCTGGGGGAGATAAAGGTAAAAGGTGTCAGCCTAGGACTAACAGATTTTGAGCCTTTCCCCGACTCGGTGAGGATGCCTCCCCTCCCCACAATATCTTATAAGGCTGCCTTACCTGTGGTATACAAGGATCCCGCTGTAAGAGAAGAAAGTGGGTCAGTGGGACTTCAGATCCCCATCCCAGCTGGGAGCAGCACTCTGCTGCTATGCCTGGGAGAATCACCCAGGCACGCTGGGGTGGGGGTTGGTTCCCAGTCCAAGCAAGTCCCGAAAACCCCTCTCCTATTAGCCTTTTCTTCCCATTGGCTCCCTAGTTCCTGCCATTGTGTTCCCCTCAGTTTCCCATCTCTTCTGAGCCATGCAGAATCACCTTGGCTGAAGGAAGCAAAGACCATTCGCTGATTGAGAGGCTGAGGGGCTCGGTAGTTCTGTACCAGAAGCTTAGAGAGCTCCTCTTCTGTGGAGAACAATGTCCCCTGAAGCTTTTCCAGCTGAGGAGCAGAAGTGTGGGAGAGGTGTCACTTTGGGGAGTGGGAAGGGGTCTGAAGTTACAACTGTGTCTCGCCTCACCTCATTTCTCCACCACTTACCTGTTCCATTGAAATTTGGGACCTTCTATAGAAGACTGTCCAGAGCACACTCTGGTAGCAAGGGGGAGTTGTGAGCGAGCCATTGTAGCGGAAGTACTGCTCCAGCTGTGGGGGGAGCAGCTCTCTTAGGTTGAAGGGAGGCACCGAGGTCTTCTGATCTGGGGAGAACAGACTGGGACTCATCTTCCTTGTAGTGTGTCCTAGCTTACCTAGATAGGGCTCCCAGATGCAGAACTCCTTGGCTGTAAGTAATTGCCTCATCCCAAGGCTTTTTAGGATATTTTTTGAAAGTTTTTTGAAAGTCTAATCTTACTTCCTGCTATAGGTTTTTAAGGCTCACCTTTATGACTGATTTCATGCAAGTGACTCAGAATGTGTTCATAAGCTATATTCTTAGTCTCACCCACCTGGAAGAGGAGGAAAGGGAGAGAGTTTGGAATGAGTCCATGTTTGGAATAAGAAATTTATGTACAGAATAAATGGTCAGGGTGGGCTGCTGCCTGCCATAGGAGGGAGGCCAGCAACAGAAATAGGTGTGAGGGTTGCAGAGGAAGCGGAGAGAAACCTGGAAGGGACTGGGGGCTACTGACCTCAATTAGGATGCCCAGGACAGCCAGGCCCTGAGGCCTCTGAGCAGCCTCACTCAAGCTGTCATAGGAATCAGAGTCATAATGTACAATGTGGAGCTGAAGGAATTAAGAGGGAATTGAATCATGGGATGTCCCCACCCTCTTCAAGGCCTTGATACTAGCTGCCACTGTTCCCCTGCTGTCCTCTAAGGTCCAGATCCTTTCCCCAGGACCAACCATCCCTGTTACTTTGAGTCCCAGCTCTTTGTTCCCTGGTACCTCTGCAACTGTGGCTTCACTGTTGATCTGGTGTTCTGACCCCCCTGGGGATCCTTTCTGACCCCAGTGCAGGTGGAGCTGGGCAGCTACGTATTTTCGGGGAAGTCCACCCAGATACAGGGTAGAGGGCAGAGAGAGTTGCACTGTGAGGAAAAGAGCAAACTAGGATTGGTGGAGGAATGTGGATACATTCCCACTGCTGGGTTGCCACCACTTCTTGGGAGACTTGGCCCTCTTCCAGTTTTCTCCCCCAGTAGCACCCAGTTTCTCCCACAGGCCAGTGCTTTTCTAGTATATCTTCCTTTTTCTCGGTTCAAGTCAGTGCAATGATACTAACCTACCTATTGAGCTTGATTATAAACATTTTGATTCCTGCCTTGGCTACAGGATCTTGATCCCTATTCTCATATCTCCAAATTCATGGACAAAGGTTTTTGAGAATTTGCAGGTTAGGAGAATGCTGCTTTCCTCTGACTCCTGAGCTTATTTGTTTATGTCAGATGGGTAATGTGCCAACATCATAACAAGGTTCGAGGGTGGCACATCTTACGCATGCTCATGAACACCCCATCATCACGCTCATGAACTACAAAAGGATCTGACTCTTAAATTCTGAGCTGGAGCCTACAACTCCTTTGAGCCTGTGCTTTTACCTGTGTGGCCATTGTTATGCAGGTCCAAAGGCTCGGTGCCAGGCTGGTCATATCCGTGGGGCTGCAGAGCAGGCAAGTCAGGGTCAAATGTCACACTGTCTGTCTGAATATCGATGGGCGACTGGGCATTGTTTCCACACTCAGGGTAAGAGGCTGGCCAGTGGTCCTGACCATGTGGGCCTAGTGGGGGTTACCAAAGACATTGGTCCTGTCCTCCAGCTGTAGCCAACCTTCAGCAACCCCCCGTCCCTTTGACCCTTCCCCTAACCAAGCCATACATCTGGGTGGAGGTAGAAATGAACTTCCCTCCACTCAGTTAAGACCCCAGTTGTACAGGGATGGGTGAGGTAGGAGTCCCGTTGATTCTCACGCTACAGTTCCCCTTCCTTACCCAGAGGCAGTGATGATTCCCCAACTATCCTGATGAATGGGGAGTGGTAGCTCTTTTACTTACCTGTATTTTGAGGACAAGAAAGCTGAATGGGGGGAGAGGGGATGCATAGAAAACCTGAATACCTTGAGAGATGGGATTAGAGAGTAGGAGTAGAAAAATGGGAGAAATAAAATGATCCTAGGTAGGCCAGGCACAGTGGCTCATGTCTGTAAGCCCAGCACTTTGGGAGGCCGAGGCAGGTGGATCGCTTGAGGTCAGGAGTTTGAGACCAGTCTGGCCAACATGGTGAAACCCTGTCTGTACTAAAAATACAAAAATTAGCCAAACATTTTTTGTATTTGTAATTGGGTGGTGGGCACTTGTAATTCCAGCTACTCGAGAGGCTGAGGCAGGAGAATAACTTAAACCCAGGAGGTGGAGTTTGCAGTGAGCCCAGATTGCACCACTGCACTCCAGCCTGGGCAACAGAGCAAGACTCTGTCTCAGAAAAAAAAAAAAAAAGATCTTAGAGAGATAGGGTCTCCTGGAGGCCCCCTATCAAGTGGCCTTGGGATTCAGTTATCTTAACTTTTCATCATTCATTTCTTGCTCTCACACTGACCGTTTATCATGGGCTCTGGAGTTCAGTTAAGTCATTAATCAGTAGTTCATAGGAACTGACTTCCACCTCCCCCAGGGTCACAAACTATCCTGCCAGCCTCTTCCTTACCCCTGATCTCCACCTCTGTCCCAATTTCAGATGCAGGTTAGGGGTAGGATGGATTAGGATAGACAGAGCCAGAAGGAGACCTGGCAGCTAAGCTCCCAGAGTTCCCACCCAGCTTCCTTTCCACCCCAGCTCCCTCCCTCCTACATGATTTACTGAGGACTTAACTAGCTTTTCTGCCAAATCAGGAGGTGTAGGATTTGATGATTAGAGCAGGATCTAGGAGCCATATATGCGAAACTCAAGGCAGGAGGAGATCCAGAAGGGAGGAGCTAGGGTGAGAAGCTAAAGGAAGTCTCCTCCCACCCGCACAGTGTGTCTTCTTGCCAGGTGAGGAGGTCCCAGTGTGAAGGGGTTGTCGGGAGGCCGCAAGATCTGCTCACCCTCGTATGTCCAGTGTTGACCTGCAAGGCAGAATAGTTTGGGTTACAGCCAGCGCAGCCTGAGGCAGAGCCCTGTCCTCCACGCTCCCCTCCCTCCAGCATTCTGTACTGCTCCACCTCCCTCTCTGCTGTCTCTCCTCCCTCCACTTCAGCACTTTCCAAAGGAAGCCCTGAAACTGGACACCTCTGTGGAAAGGTCGGGGGGCCTATTTAAAATCACCAGCCAGTCTGTGCTGGTGCCTGCCGAGTAAAAGGGGAGGAGGAAGGAAAAGAGGTAAAGCCCAGAGACTAAAATTAACCTGGATCCAAATGTGCGATTGGCCCAACCCTTACTTTTCTCTAACCTGTGCCAAATCAATCTAACACTTAGAAGATTGGGATGGGTGAGGTGAGGGTGTGGGCAGAGGTTTTGAAGGATAGGGACTAGAAAGTGGGGAGGAGAAAGGAATTCAGAGTGTGTGCTGGGGGGTGCTACTGAGGGCAGAAGGGGGGATTATTCCTTTGCTTTGCAAAATTGCGTGAATAAAGGCACTGAGCCGTAAAATCATATGTAAATTATTCCCTTCTGGTCCCATTAGCTCTAGAGGAAACTCCTCATCACCAGGAGGCTCAGCTCCCTACATTCCCAGATGGTTAGGGAAGGGCAGGAGTCAGGGCAGGGTCTACTGTAGATTGAGGGTGGTGGGTGGGCACAGGCGGCCAGGCTGGCAGGGACAGGATGAAAGTGAAGCATTGTGTGTAGAGAAGAGAGCTGCCAGCTGGGTCACATGCCAGGCTCTCGTGCAGCCCTGTCTGACTCAAAGGCTGAGGGTCTGCAGGTCCAGCCCCTCCATACGGCCAAACTGCCTCAAGAAGAAAACGAAGGGCTTCGTGGTTTATGCTGCAATATTCATACTACTAGAAACTCTGGAGAAAAATCCTAAATTCCTTCCTCTTTCTCTCTCTCTTATTCCCTTAAATTTCTCAAACTTGTGAGTTGTCCTGCTCTTATCCTCGACCTATTCTGCTGGCCCAAGGGAGAGCTGGAGGCAGCCTCTCATTTACCATCTCTGTGGGACCCCCCAACAACTCGAACTCCCTGGTCTGTAAGGTGCCCGTCCCCTCTGGTCAGAGCCTCAACACACTTATTATGTCTCTTCCTCCTCTTTCCCTATTTTTTTCTTTCTCCTCAGATGAGATTTGTGACTCTCCATTTGGCTGCCCACCTGCCCCCATCCTCTCTGCATTTGCCTTCTGCTCTCTGGACACCCCCCTCACCCTGCTCTTTCCACAAACCTCAGTTACACACCTAGTATGTGCTGGATACTGTGCTAGGCACAGGAAACACAAAAATGAGGTCTAGGAGTTCCTGGGAACACTCCTGGAGCGCTTCGGCCTGTTCTCCCAAGAATCCCTCCTCATCTCCTGGGAGCTCCTGAAAGTCCTTTGTAAAGTGTCAAACAAATGTTGACTCTTACTGCTACTTTCAGAGGATAACCAGGGAGTTAGTCACTCCACAGAATGAAGAGGGAATCTTGGCCAAAAGGGGATGAATTGGAGATCAGGGTCTGAGTTGGGCAGGAAGTATTCTTCCCCTACCCCCATCTATCCTCTTTTCACTCCAGGCCTCTTTGACTCCCTATTTGGAGGAGTTTGTAAATAAAGAAGTCCAGGAGTCCTGCCTGGTACCAGGGGGTGGGGGAAAGAGCTCTGGAGAAAATCTGTAGCCTGCAAGAAATTCCAGCACTTGCGTATGTACACACCCTGCCCGCCGCTAGTTCTCCCCGACCTCCAGTAACAGCAAGGCTGGAGAGACAAAAGGTAAAGAAGGGAAGTGGTCTCCTCCACACCCTGCTGTTTTTTCCTCATCTCTGAGCCTATTATTCCAGCTTCTAGGCTTCCTTTCACACCTCTCCTCCCCGCATTCGGCACACCTGGCGACATGTGAACATCAGTACAAATCCACACACAGACATTTAGTTGTACCTACCCCCATCTGCAGCCAGGATCCAAATCACCTCCAGCAGGAGGGCGGAGAACAACATAGTGTCCCAGGAAGGGGTGCAGGGGACTGGGAATTTGAGGACTAGAGGACTAGGACAGGCAGAGAGAGAGAGGGAGGGAGGGAGGAGGGGGGAGAGAGAGAGAGAGAGAGAGAGAGAGAGAGAGAGAGAGAGAGAGAGAGAGCGCTCCTGGCGTGAGTGTATTTATCTCTACTTCTCTTGCTGTTTCTGTCTCTGTGGGCTTCCAGGGGATTTGGTGTTCAGTAGGGTACCATGGGTTTCTGGATCCCCAGGACAAATCTCTTGCTGCCTCTTTCTCTGCCCTCTCTCTCTTTATCTCCCTCTGCAGTCTCCACTCCACTAGCTGGCCAGCGACTTTACCACTGCCTCCTGCTTTTAAGGTGGCTCTGGACGGGTGTATGTGTGGAGGGGGGGCTGCCTGGGCTGCTGGTGAACAGCTCCTTAAATAGCCAATTAGGCATGCAGGATGGCCCCACTCGGAGCTGGAGCGCGGCAAGTTTCACTGGAGCCCTTGCCCTGGCTCAGGAGCCCAGCTGGGGTGAGCTCTTCCTTCCTCTGCTAGTCACACAGATGCTGCTTAGACAGGTGTTCTCTGGAGCAGGCGGGGTCAAGGAATGGGTTTTGGGGTTCAACTCAGCCCCCTCAAGAGGACACTGTATTTTCATCCCTCCGCCTGGCTTCACCTCTGAGGAGCAGCTGCCTGGGTGGTATGGGGCAGATGGTGGGGGTACCTGTTCCCAATTTCCTGCAGAATCTGAGCTGCCCTGGAATGGGAAGAGTCCAGAATTAGGAGATATATAACAAGAAGGAATTGGGGACTCAGGGTGCAGGCGAGGGGTGGAGGAAGTCAAGAACTAAAACCTGAGTTGTGTCCTGAGTTCTAAGGAAGAGAAGCAAGGCGAGGAGAACTCATCTGGAGCAATCTCTTCTGTGCCTGTCACCACCCCCTTCCCACGGTGAGGCCTGGGTCCACGTGCCTGTGTGGCCTGGGGTGGGGGGAGCGTTGTTTGCTGGATAAAGCCCATTTGTGTGCCCAGTGGGGGAGGGGTGTAGCAGCACCATGGAGAGACAGCGGCTGTAACTGCCAGACCCAGCCACCTCCCTCTCCAGGGAGCCCAGATCTAGGGCGGCTTTTGTCACTGAAGAGGACACTGACCTCTGGCAGAGAGGCCAGGGCAGGAGGAAAGAAGGAGAGACTTTGGAAACAATCACTACCGCCATCAGAAAAAGGCGGTCTCCAGAGAAAGAGAGGGGAGGGACCGGAGAGACCATGTGATCCAGATGGAAGAGGGGCCCAGGGTCTTCCCTCCAGCCCAACAAAGGGCTGAAGCAGGACATGTGGCACTGAATGAAACCTGCCACCAAGGAGCTGCGCCAGTGGAGTATGGAGGCTGCGCGTCTTAGGAATGTGAGCTGATGTTTGCTCCCCACGGGACTGGAAATCCCGATTGGAATGTACATCCTAAATCCCTCGTTAGAGAATGTGAAACCCACAGATGCTTTCAAGCCAGACATTGAAACCTCTTTCTTCTCCATGCCCTTCACCAGAGGCACCAGCCAGGAGGATGCACCCATTTGAAGCTCCTTCTGCCTTCCTTGCTCCTGCCGAGTAGCAATAAATAGCCAAACAAAGGGAGCAGAAGCTAAATAAGGGCGCAGGATAAAAGCCAAATGAACAGAATAATGCATGTGCTGGATCATCAGCTCCTGCAGAGACAGGAGCTCACTGTGCCTTTCTGTCCCCCGTGATTGATCTGCAAAGCAAAGCCATTTTGCTGATGTCATTTCCCTTCTTCTCCTACCACCCTCTGAATTATTTGTCCCCTTCAGGAAAGTTTTATGTTTTGAGGTTCCCCAAAGCCCCATCCATCCCATCTAAGAAGAGTAAAGGCTTGAAGTATAAATTAGACTTCCCGGGAATCAGGGTACTTAACACAAAGAAACAAAAAAAGAAAGCAGAGACATCTTGGTATGAGAAAAGAGATTTAGTAGGAAAGAAGAGGTCTGCACAGAATGACCTCTCCACCGGGACAGAGTTCCCGTGGAGCACTGAGCTGAGATTCCGATTCCCAAGGCAGATAGCGTGTCTTGCCAGGCGCCACCTCCTGGCTCGTCTATGAATTTTTAAATTTTAATATAAGATGTTTTGTGTATGGTTCCTTCTGGGAGGTATTTCACTGCTGCTGGGCTTTGGGATTTTGCCTACACAACTGAATATTGTTTCACAAAGATATCTTAGCCCGGAATCAACACTTCCCTGATCTTGGGTGAGCAACGCATCCAGGTGCTTATGCTTCCCAGATGACAAAGGCCCTCCTTTCTAGGACAGAGGGAGCCAGGAGGCGAGCGCCGTCCTCCAGGCACTTGACTTTATCTTGATCTTTGGCTTTACTGTGGACATTTCTGTTGTCGCTTTCTAGCTGTGTTGATTTGGAGTAGGTGTCAAAAGGACCCTTATATGTAAGTTAAAAAAAAAGGTGACACAGCTCCCTCTCCCCATCCGGTCTCAGTTTCCACTCAAACTCTGGCACCTTTGTTTTAGCTCTGACCTCACTCTCAAGCCCTTTCCTTGCTTGCATTGGCTAAAACCCTTAAAACCAAAACCAAGCATCCCACTGCCTTCTGGCGCCATCTCCTGTCCTTGTAGATATACTGAAACTTGACTGAGGTCAGGCGCGGTGGCTCATGCCTGTAATGCCAGCACTTTGGGAGGCCGAGGCAGGTGGGCCAGGAGTTCCAGACCAGCCTGGCCAACATAGCAAAACCCGGTCTCTACTAAAAATACAAAAATTAGCCGGGCGTGGTGGTGCATGCCTGTAATCCCAGCTATGCAGGAGGCTGAGGCAGGAGATTCGCTTGAACTCAGGAGCAGGAGGTTGTAGTGGGCTGAGATTGCTCCACTGCACTCCAGCCTAGGTGACAGAGTGAGACTCTGTCTCAAAAAAAAAATTAAGTAATTTTGGAAAAATGACCCTTTGGATTATTTTCTTAGTTTTCCAGTTCACATTACACAACAGATGCAGTATGAGAATCTTGTAAATTGAGGACCAGTAAAAGTTTGTGGTCTGAAAATTTGCAAGTCATTTAATTATAAATGATAAGTTACAATATTTCAGTTGTAATTTTGTGTCATACATTGATTCCATGAACAGAATGCTGCCTGGTACATAAGTGTTTGTTGATTGAATGAATCTAGTAATTGCAACAGTTATTTACTTTCTTTCACAGAATTTTAGAACAGAAGGGCCCTCAGGCATCATTCTAAACCCCTTGTTATACCCTGTAAAACTGAGTTTTGAGAGATTTAGGGATTCAGCCATGGTTAGTCATATAACTGTTAGGCTAAACCAGAACAAGGACACAGGCACCAGTGAGCTTTCTCCTACACCATTGGTTCTCAAATGTCAAAGTGCATCAGAATCACCTGGAAAGTTTTTTAAATTTGGAAAACTAATTAAAATACAGATTTCTGACCAGGTGCAGTGGCTCATGTCTGTAATCTCAGCACTTTGAGAGGCTGGGGCGGGCGGATCACCTGAGGTCAGGAATTTGAGACCAGCCTGGCCAACCACTGCACTCCAAACTGGGTGACAAGAGCAAAACTCTATCTCAAAGATAAAATAAAATAAATAAATACAGATTTCTGGACCTCACCCCCATAGTACCCGATTCTGTAGTTCTGGGTATGTCCAAATCTACATTAGCATTTATCTTTCTCTTTCTCTCTCTCAATGTTTTTTTTTTTTTTTTTTTTTTTTTTTTTTTTTTTTTGTGCGGTGGTTCATGCCTGTAATCCCAGCACTTTGGGAGGCCGAGGCGGGCGGATCACGAGGTCAAGAGATCGAGACTATCCTGGCCAACCAACATGGTGAAACCCCATCTCTACAAAAAATACAAAAATTAGCTGGGCGTAGTGGCACATATATGTAGTCCCAGTTACTTGGGAGGCTGAGGCAGGAGAACCGCTTGAACCCGGGAAGCAGAGGTTACGGTGAGCCAAGATTGTGCCATTGCACTGCAGCCTGGGCAACAGAACGAGACTCTGTCTTGTTTTTTTTTTTTTTTTTTTTGAGATGGCTCATCGTAACCTCTGCCTCCCAGGTTCAAGCGATTCTTCTGCCTCAGCCTCCCGAGTAGCTGGGATTACAGACATTTGCCACCACACCTGGCTAATTTGGTATTTTTAGTAGAGATGGAGTTTCTCCATGTTGATGAGGCTAGTCTTGAACTCCCTACCTCAGGTGATCTGCCTGCCTCAGCCTCCCAAAATGCTGGGATTACAGGCGTGAGCCACCACACCCAGCCTCTCTCTCTCTCTCTCTCTTTTTTTTTTTTTGGAAACAGGGTCTCACTCTATCGCTTAGGCTGGAGTGCAGTGGTGGAATCATAGCTCACTTCAGCCTCAAACTCAAGTGATTCTCTTCTCAGCCTCCTGAGTAGCTAGGACTATGTGTGCATGCCAGCCACCATGACTGGCAGGTTTTAAAATTTTTCTTATTTTTTATAGAGACATGATTTTGTCATGTTGCCCAGGCTAGTCTCGAACTCATGGGCTCAAGTGATTTGCCCAGCTCGGCCTCCCAAAGTGCTGAGATTATGAGCATGAGCCACCACAGCCACCTCTTTCTAGTCCCCATGAATAAAAACACTATAAATACTTGAGTACAGGTCTTTGAGCAGACATATGTTTTTATTGTTCTTGAGTAAATACATAGGAGTGGGAATAAATAGATACTGAGTACTGGATTGTAAGGGAAGCGTATTTTTAGCTTTGTAAAAAAACCTGCGGGGCTGTTTTTCTTTTACTTTCTTTTCTTCTTTTGAGATGGCATAGCTCTGTTGTCCAGGTTGGAGTGCAGTGGCATGATCTTGGCTCACAGCAGCCTTTCCTTCCTGGGCCCAAGCCATCCTCCCACCTCAGCCTCCCAAGCCTCTGAGGCTACAGGTTCATGCCACCACACCCAGCTAATTTTTAAATTTTTTCGTAGAGACAAGGTTTTACCATATTGCCTAGGTTGGTCTTGAACTCCTGGGCTCAAGTAATTCTCCCGCCTCGGCCTCCCAAAGTGTTAGAATTACAGGCATGAGCCACCATGCCTGGCCTCTTTTATTTTATTATTATTTATTTATTTATTTATTTTTGAGACAGAGTCTGGCTCTGTTGCCCAGGCTGGAGTGCAGTGGCATGATCTTGGCTCACTGCAACCTCTGCCTCCTAGGTTCAAGTGATTCTTCTGCCTCAGCCTCCCAAGTAGCTGGAACTATAGGCACA